AAAGTTATGACCAACCTAGACAATATAGTAAAAAGCAGAGACTTTACTTTGCCAACAAAGATCTGTCTAGTCAAGGCTATGGTTTTTCCAGTAGTCATGTATGGATTTGAGAGTTGGGCTATAAAGAAAGCTGAGCACTGAAGAATTGATGCTTTGAACTGGGGTGTTGGAGAAGACTCTTGAGAGTCCCTTGGACTGCAAGGAGATCCAACTAGTCCATCCTAAAGAAGATCAGTCCTGAGTGTTCATTGGAAGGACTGATGTTGAAGCTGAAACTCCAATATTTTGGCTACCTGATGTGAAGAGCTGACTCATTTGAAAAGACTCTGTTATTGGGAAATATTGAAGGCAGGAGGAGAAGGGGATGACAGAGGATGAGATGGTTAGATGGTATCACTGGCTCAATGGATATGAGTTTGGGTAGGCTCCGGGTGTTGCTGATGGACAGGGAGGCCTGGTGTGCTGCGGTTCATGGGTCGCAGAGTCAGACAGGACTGAGCAACTGAACTGATAGATTCATATTTAGCCTGTTTCTTTCTTTTTTTTTTTTTTTAGCAGAATTGCTGCATTAAATATCTTTCTGTAGACTTCATTATGTCCTTGAATAGTTAAGATCACAGAATAAATTCTTAGGAGTAGAATTTGAACCAATTCTACTGAACCAAAGAATGTGTACATTTTTAAATTAAATAAATAAATTTCCAAATTGCCCCCATAGAAACTAGAGTAACAGCAACTCCCACAAACAATAAATGAGAATTTTATGGTATTAATCTATAATTTTTTATAATATTGGTTAGTTTTTTCTATAGCTATAGCATTCTCCTTCCCTTCACTTACTTCTACCACCATACTATATTTTGGTGGTAAAATTTCCCCTCACTTGCATACTACCACCACAATATATTTATTGGCTCTTGAGTCACATCTGTATCTTCCAGTATACTTATGTTGTATTACTTGATTAACTTTAAATTTTAAGTCTATCACTGGTACTGAAAATACAAATAAATTAGCACAAATAAAGTATCCCTTCTCTTCGACTTCTGACTTTATTCTATTAATCCAACATTGTCAGGATTCAAAATATTTCTGTTCGGTAACCTAAAGCTTTAGCCAATTTTTTGCGTAAGTCACTTTCAATTAAATAACAACAACAAAAGAATTTATTGGTTTTTGGCTTCAAATCTAGGTGCTTCTAGATCCAAACATTACTATCAGTCATCAACTTTCCCCTTCTCTGGGGTTAATGTTCCTTGGTGGTAACTTCATTTTCTGATTCCTTGTCTGCTTATTGTGGCAGAATTTTCAGACTGATAGTATAGGAGTTTAGCAGTTGTATGGATTCACATTTCAATCTTGTTGGGTCCGTTGGATTAGGCTCCTACCCCTGAACCAGTTATTGTATTAAGTGCCTTCATTTGCTGCATCTGGGTCATATGTATTACCTTATGCAAGGGGATAGCATCAGCCACACAGAATCCACATGGACTAAGAGTAGGGGAGGAATGGTATTTTTAATGCAAAGTTATAATTGCTGTTGTTGTTCAGTTGTCCAGTCATGTCCAACTCTTTGTGACCCCATGCACATTGCATGCATGTTGGCAATTAGATCTCTGGTTCCTCTGCCTTTTCTAAACCCAGGTTGGACGTCTGGTAA